TACACAGTGGTCATGTCTTGTAATCCCAGTCATCTTTGAGAGGTCAAGGCAGGCAGATTACATGAGGCCAGGAGTTTGAGACCAGCCCGGCCAACATGGTGAAACCTGCTGTCTACTAAAAAACTACCAAAAAAAAGAAAAGGCAGGTGTGGGGTGGTGTGTGGCACACCTGTAATGCTAGCTACTCAGGAGGCCTGAGGCAGGAGAATCACTTGAGCCCCAGGATGCAGAGGTTACGGTGAGCTGAGATTGCACCACTGCACTCCAGCCTAGGCGAGAGAGTGATACGCTATCCAAAAAAAAAAAAAAAAAAAGCCAGGTGGAGTGCCTCATGCTATAATCCCAGCACTTTGGAGCTGAGACGACTGGATCACTTGAGGTCTTGGTTTTGAGTTCGAAGAACCTCGATCCTGCCTGGCCAATAGGCAAAACCACTATTGCACTAAAAAATACAAAAAATTTAGCGACGTGGTGGCATCGCACCTGTTAGTCCCAGCTATCGCCCGAGAGGCTGAGGCAGGAGAATTGCTAAATCCAGGAGTGTGGAGGTTGCAGTGAGCCAAAAATTGCGTCACTCACACTCCAGCCTGGGCAACAGAGTGAGACTCAGTCTAAAAAAATAAAAGAAGTGATATTCTTAGAACAGAAAATATATGATTATCCAATTGGCCCTAACACCCTTTACTTGTCGTCTTTTATTTATTAATCCAATATGGCCACCTTTATTTAGACCAAATTTGCCCTCCGGATCAATAAATAAAAGACTGATTTAGTAAAGGTTGTTTTTGAAAGGAAAGTTTAACTCCTATCTTCAAGTCGTAACAAAAAAATTGCAGGTGGCTTTTTCGCAGTAAGAAGAAACAATTTGTAAAAGTCTTTGAAAATAAGATATAGAAATCATGATAATTTTTTTTTTTTCTTTAGAGATGGGGTTTCACCATGTTGGTCAGGCTGGTCTTGAAGTCCTGATCTCAGGTGATCCACCTGCCTCGGCCTCCAAAAGTGCTGGGATTACAGGCGTGAGCCACTGCATCCAGCCTTTTTTGTTTTTTTAGTAGAGACGGGTTTTCACCGTGTTAGCCAGGATGGTCTCTATCTCCTGACCTCATGATCCACCCACCTTGGCCTCCCAAAGTGCTGGGATTACAGGCCTGAGCCACCAGCGCCCAGCTGCAGCTGCCTATTTTTAATTACACTGGCGACTGGGTGTGCTGGCTTATACCTATAGGAGGGTCACTTCAGGCCAGGAGTTTGAGACCAGCCTAGACAAAATAGCCAGACTCTGTCTCTACAAAAAATAAAACTTAAAAAGCTTGCACTGGTATGTTAATTTCATATGGTATGTGGGTTTATTGTTTCACATAGAGATTCAAATGGCTTCCAGAGGAAAGACAGAGACAAGCAAATTAAAGCAGAATTTAGAAGAACAGTTGGATAGACTCATGCAGCAATTACAAGATCTGGAGGAATGCAGGTAAGAGTTTAATTGTATGTCGTTACGCTGGAAACTGACTTTTTTTCTGCAGCTAGCTCCGTGGATGCAGGCCCATGTGTGATTCTGCATTTCCCCTGTAGTGTTCTTCACACTGTCTGTTAGACAAGTAAACTCATTGCAGGCTTTGGAGTCATAAAGGCTGGGAAATGACAGTCATTCAGTTAACTACTAAGTGCACGTGAACTTGAGCAAAATACTTAACCTCCTTGAAGTAGAAATAATCCAGCACACTCCAGCCTGGGCAACAGAGTGAGACTCAGTCTAAAAAAATAAAAGAAGTGATTTCTTAGGAACAGAAAATTATCAATGATTATCCAATTGCCCTAACACCCTTTACTTGTCAGTCTTTTATTTATTAATCAATATGCCACCTTTATTGTAGACCAAATTGCCCTGGATCAATAAATAAAAGACTGATTAGTAAAGGGTGTTTTTGAAAGGAAAGTTAGACTCCTACTTCAAGCGTAACAAAAAATTGCAGGTGGCTTTTTTCTGCAGCTAGAAGAAAATTTGTAAAAGTCTTGAACATAAAGATATAGAAATCATGAGATGGTTAGGGCCTGCCTTCATGGGACACAAAACAAAGAAGGTTTAAAGGAGAAGATAGATTTGTCTATTAAAAAATAATAATTTGCCATGACAAAAAAAATAAATAAAATTTAGTCTGGAGACGAAATAATATTTGCAATTACAAAGGCTTCATTGCTTGATCTTAGGAGGTCAAAGCTGTAGTGAGCCGTGATCATGCCACTGCACTCCAGCCTGGGTGACAGAGCAAGACCCTGTCTCAGAAAAGCCACAGGCTTCGTATCCATGTTATAAATCAGTAAGAGAAAGATAACCCAGCAGAAAGGTGGTCACATTTCCAAAGAAGAAATTCATATTAAAAGATGTTCATCAGCTAGGCTTGGGGACCTACACCTCTAATCCCAGCATTCGGGAGGCTAAGGTGGGCGCATCCCTTGAGTCCAGTTCAAGACCAGCTTGGGCAACATAGGGAGACCCCATCTCCACAAAAAAAATAAATTAGCCAGGTGTGGTGGTGTGTACCTGTGGTTCCAGCTACTCAGGAGGCAGAGGTGGGAAGATGGCTTGAGCTCGAGAGGTCGAGGTTATAGTGAGCTGTGATTGTGCCACTGTGCTCCAGCCTGGGCGACAGAGTGAGACCCTATCTCAAAAAAACTAAAAATAAAAAAAGGATGTTCATGCTCACAAGTAATTAGGTAAATATACATAAGACCAATAAGATAATATCAGGAGTGTTTTGGGCTATGGTGATTCATTTTATAAAGCAAAGCCACATTTGATCTACTTCTTTATATATCTGTATTTCCATTTATCAAATTTGTTTAGAGTAAGATAGACCAGTAATGAAGACTTCGAATTAATGTGTCAAATCACATAAAGAAGATTTTCAGGCATTTTTGTGGGATGTTATTACTATATGAGTTTAAACTTTTATATCTAAAGTAAGATTTTCTTTGTATAACTATCTTTCATACACCTGTAGCTAAGAAAGAGTATAACCTTTCTTTTTTTTTTTTTCTGAGTCAGGGTCTCGCTCTGTCAACCAGGCCAGAGTACAGTGGTAAGATCATGGCTTACTGCAACCTCAGATTCCTGGACTCAAGCAATCCTCCCACCTAAGACCTAAGCCTCCTGAGGAGCTGGGACTAAAGGCATCTGCCACCATGCCTAGCTAAGATTTTCTATTCTTTGTAGAGATGAAGTCTTACTATATTGGCCAGGCTGGTCGCGAGCTCCTGAGCTCAAGCAGTCCTCCTACTCCTACCTCAGGCTCCCAGAGTGCTGAGGTTACAGACATGCATGAGCCACTACACCCAGCTGCCTTTTTTTTTTTTTTTCCTGAGATGTAGTCTCATTCTGTCGCCCAGGCTGGAGTGTAGTGGCATGATCTCTGCTCACTGCAATCTCTGCCTCCCAGGTTCAAACGATTCTCCTGCCTCAGCCTCCCGAGTAGCTGGGACTACAGGCTTTTAGTAGAGACGGGATTTCACTATGTTGGCCAGACTGGGCTCAAAGTCCTGACCTCGTGATCCGCCTGCTTCGGCCTCCCAAAGTGCTGGGATTACAGGCGTGAGACACCGCGCCCGGTCAAGGGTAACTTTTTAAGAGCTGCCCAACAGTTCATTACCTCCTTCTCAAGGAGCATGAGTGTCAAACCACCTCCAGCAAAGTAGATGTAGTCTTTTACAGATTTGGAAAGAAGGATTTAGGAAGAAAGGGAAGTCATTCGGAATGATTTCTTCCTCTGACGCCCAGCCGTCCCCCGTTAAGTCTAAAGGTGCTAGACCTCAAGACTCTTCTAGAAAGAGATTTTTCCTCTCCAAGGTGAATACATCTGTTCCGAAGGTCAGAAGCTATTTTACCGAAGTTTTCCGTTCCACCGAAAAAATTAAGGGTCAATTAATGCTTCTTGTCCCAAACCTGAATATGAGCTTGCCTCGGATCATATTCGACCCTAAAGACTCCACCATCTTGGACGCCCCTATATCTAGGACAAAAAGGGACCAGCTTCTCAGGGGCTCCTTGCAGGGAGCTTACCGCGCCCTCACTGTCCGCCGGCCCGAGTGCTACCGTAGATCACCCGCGGCCCGGACGCCAGCAAGTGGAACATCTGGGTCGCACTCTCATTGGTTCCAGGGGGCCGGAAGTGCGTGCGTGCGGCGGAAGTGCTCCTCCGGCGCGGTCCTCCAGGCCAGGGCCCTCAGGTAGGCGGGGCCCCTGGCCCTAAACTCTGGGACTGGCGGGCGGGCAGGTGGCACAGGGGGGATCCCGGGGGCCTAAGGAGGTTGTCCCAGTTTTCGTCAGGGAGAGCCGGAAAGATTTTTGGGGACCGTGGGTTTACGGCTACCTCTGGTGGTAACCGGGGCCTGGTGGAGCCCGGCCGCCGCGGGACCTACGTGTTGGACTTCAAGTTCCCGCGTGGGGTGGGATCTGCTGCGGTGGCCGGAGCTGATTCTTCACCCAGTCCGGTTGGTTCTGGGCCAAACGCTCCTCACTTTCAGCCAGGAAGAGGCGTGCTCTCCGTCCTTACCTTTTCCATGCCTGTGGGTTTGACGCCTTCCCTCAAGGCGTATCCGGATGCGGGTTTTTCCTCCAAGATCCTCTCGGCCTCGCTAGGAAAAACCTCAGAAAGGCTGCGGTAGACGCAGTGAGGGAGAAACTGCCCCCGCCCGTGATGTCTCAGGCTGCTCAAGTGGAAGTTATCTGGACTGCCTTAGGGCAAGTTTATATATAGCAAATACAATTACTTGTTAATGGTTTCCTTTTTTCCAGCCATCTCCACCCCCAGGTGGTTTGAACTTTGAGCCTTTTGTAGTCCTGATGAATAATTTCATTTTCCTCAAGTTTATGACACTCGGAACGTCAAGAACTGGAGGTTTGTGCAATTTGAGACCGGTCAGCACTGTGCAGAGATCAGAGTACTAAGAGACAGGTGAGCAAGAATGAGTGCCCTCCACTCCAGATTGTAGTGTCTGAGAGCGGTTTCTGTAGTTTCGTAAAAGTGCACACCTTTAGTGACTACTAGGTGGCGCCAACGAGTTAATCTTTCGGGGATAAATCTCAAAGTAGCACCAGATAAGGCTTTTAAAATGCACCCATTTTTACTGAAATGTATTCAGAATAGCTTTAGCTCCTTAAACTATGTTGAGCCTTTATATATGTGACCAAACTATCGACGTTCTATTCTGTATCAGGTACTGAGAAATCTAAGAGAGGAATCAGACTCATATTCTGTTCTCCAGAGTTTAGTCAGTACAAAAATTAGCTGAGCGTGGTGGCAGGCACCTGTAATCCCAGCTACTCGGGAGGCCGAGGCAGGAGAATCGCTTGAACCCGGGAGTCAGAGGTTGCAGTGAGCCAAGATCACGCCACTGCACTCTAGCCTGGGTGACAGAGCGAGACGATGCCTCAAAAAAAAATTTTTTTTAAAAGGATTTTTTTTTTTTTTTGTGAGGCGCAGTCTTGCTCTGTCGCCCAGTGGAGTGCAGTGGCACCATTTCTGCTCACTGCAAGCTCCGCCTCCCAGGTTCACACCATTCTCCTGTCTCAGCCTCCCGAGTAGCTGGGACTACAGGCGCCCGCCACCACAGCCGGCTAATTTTTTGTATTTTTAGTAGAGACAGGGTTTCACTGTTAGCCAGAATGGTCTCAATCTCCTGACTTTGTGATCCGCCTGCCTCAGCCTCCCAAAGTGCTAGGATTACAGGCGTGAGCCACTGCGCTCGGCCCAATAAAAAGATTTGAATGCTAAAGAAGAAGCAATCAATTCTCATTATTCATCCACCAGTTATTTATTCAGCACTTTTTGTCTGCCCAAGACTGTGCTGGATGCTGGTGTATAAAGAAAAGGTAAAGGCCGGACGCAGTGGCTGATACCCGTAATCCCAGCACTTTGGGAGGCTGAGGCGGGCGGATCTCCTGAGGTTAGTTTGAGACCAGCCTGGCCAACATGGTGAAACCTTATCTCTACTAAAAGTACAAAAATTAGCTGAGCGTGGTGGTGGGCACCTACATTCCCAGCTACTCGGGAGGCCGAGGCAGGAGAATCGCTTGAACCCAGGAGGCAGAGACTGCAGTGAGCCGAGATCACACCACTGCAATCCAGCCTAGGTGACAGAATGAGGTGCCATCTCAAAACAAAAAAAAAAGAAAAAAGAAAAGGTAAAATCCCTACTCAAATAATTCACAACCTAGTGATTGGGAGGAAATCAAAGAAGGCCTTGTAGAGAAGGTGACACTTGAACTAGACTGAAGAATGAATGAACTGGGCTTCATAGGTAGAAAAAAAAAATGCAAGCTCAAAAGAATGCATGACATTTTTGAAACAGCAAGTCATCCAGTGTGGTTAGACTGTAGGAAACTAACTCTGAAAAGACATTGTTAGTTACATCTTGGGTCTGCCTCAACTTTTAGTGGAAAATTCCACAGACTTAAGAGAAAAATTAAAATGAATAATTTCCAGGAAAAATGCACTAAACCATTATACATGAAATGTAGCTATAATAAATTACACTTCTGGGTATAATGTTTGTTTATATTTGCATATCATTGATGATCATAGATGACTTATGCCAATTTTAATGGATTAGGCAGTAATTTTTTTGTCATTATATTTTATTTTGAATATATTGTAAGAATCCTCTCCATTGAAGTACACATGTCAAATCATCTGGTAATGATTTCATTATGTGTAGGAAAACAAAACATGCTTTAATGCCAGGCGCGGTGGCTCCCGCCTGTGATCCCAGCACTTTGGGAGGCCGAGGCTGGCTGATCATGAGGTCAGGAGATAGAGACCATCCTGGCTAACATGGTGAAACCCCGTCTCTACTCACACCAACGGGCAGGATGTGATTAAATACAAAGACAGGCCGGCGTGGTGGCTCAAGCCTGTAATCCCAGACACTTTCGGGAGCCAAGGCGGGTGGTCACGAGGTTAGCAGATCGAGATCATCCTGCTAACATGGTGAAGACCCTCAGTCCGTCCTACTAAAAATACAAAAAAAAAAAACTACCGGCGACGGGCTGGCCGGGGCGTGCGCGCCTGTAGTCCCAAGCTATGCTTCGGGAGCGCTTAGGCGGAGACATGGCGTGAACCCGGAGGCGGAGCTTTGCAGTGAGCTGAGATCCGGCCACACTGCCGTCCAGCGCCTGGGCGACAGAGCGAGACTCCTTCTCAAAAAAAAAAAAAAAAAACTAAAGACAAAGTAGGTTGTTACTTTCTACTTCAAGGAGCAGCTTAAGTATTTGCTCTAAAGTTCACGTGCACCTTAGTAGTTAACTGAATGACTGTCATTTCCAGCCTTTATGACTCCAGAAGCCCTGCAATGAGTTGTTACTTTGTCTAACAGACAGTGTGAAGACACCACAGGGGAAATGCAGATCACACATGGGCCTGCATCCACCGGGAGCTAGTCTGCAGAAAAACGTCAGTTTCCAGCGTACGACATACAGTTAACTCTTACTGCATTCCTCCAGAGTCTTGTAATTGCTGCAGAGTCTATCCAACGTTCTTCTAAAGTCTGCTGTTAATTTGCTTGTCTCTGTCTTTCCTCTGGAAGCCATTTGAATCTCTATGTGACAACAATAAACCCACATACCATATTGAAATTGACATCACAGTGCAAGCTTTTTAAGTTTTATTTTTTGTAGATGACACGAGTCTGGCTATTTTGTCTAGGCTGTCTCAAACTCCTGGGCCTGAAAGTGGACCCTCCTATACCCTATAGTATACAGCCAGCACACCCAGTCGCCAGTGTAAATTAAAAGGTAGGCACTGCAGCTGGGCGCTGGGGCTCAGGCCTGTAATCCCAGCACTTTGGGAGGCAAGGTGGGTTGATCATGAGGTCAGGAGATAGCAGACTCTGGCTAACACGGTGAAACCCGTCTTACTAAAAAAAAAACAACAAAAAGGTGGGATGCAGTGGCTCACGCCCTGTAATCCCAGCACTTTTGTAGGCCGGGCAGGTGGATCACCTGAGATCAGGGAATTCAAGACCAGCTCTGACCAAGCATGCGTGAAACAAGCAATCTTCAAGAAAATCAACAAACAAAAAATTAGCTGGGCATGTGCACATGCCTGTAGCCAGCTGCCATGCGGCCGGAGGCGCGCGGAGGGAGGGCTGAGCGCAAGGAGAAGTCGGTCGTTGATACCAACCTGGGAGGAGAGAGTTGCAGTGAGCAGAAGATCATGGCGACTACAACTCCAGCCTGGGCTGACAGATGAGACTACTTCAGTGAAAAAAAAAAAAAGGCAGACTGGGTGTCACAGTGGCTCATGCATACAGACAGATACAACAAACACAGAAGGGACGAAAACACAAAAACACAGCTCTGGGACCTGAGTAGGCAGCTAAGGAGAGCACATGCTTGACTCAGAGCGTCGAGACCAGCCTGGCCAACATATAAAGGACTTCTCTCTACACAAGAACAAAATTTAGCTAGCGGCATGGGTGGCAGATGCCTTTAGATCTCCAGCTCCTCAGGAGCTTAGGACATTAGGTGGGAGGATTCGCTTGAGTGCAGAGGAATGCTGGAGGTTCAGTGAAACCATGATCTTAGCCGATCGTACCGGCCTGGGCCTGGTTGACAGAGCGAGACCCTGACCTCAAAAAAGAAGAAAAGAAAAGTGTTATACTCTTTCTTAGCTACAGGTGGTAGAACCTCATATACCCATACAAACGAAATCTTACTTAGATATAAAGTTTAAAACTCATATAGTAATACATCCCACAAAAGGCCTGAAAATGCTTCTTTATGTGATTTGACACATTAAATTCGAAGTCTTCATTACTGGTCTATACTTTACTCCTAAACAATTTGATAAATGGAAATACAGATATATAAGAAGTAGATCAAATGTGGCTTGCTTTATAAAAGATCACCGATAGGCAAACACTCCTGATCATTAATTTATTGTCTATGTAAATTTACCTAGATGTACTTGTGAGCATGAACATCCTTTTTTTATTTTTTAGTTTTTTGAGATAGGGTCTACTCTGTCGCCCAGGCCTGGAGCACAGTGGC